CCCCACTGGATGCAACAAATGCCTCGTTTATAATGGGTTTGAATGTTTTTGTCTCATCGTTTCGGCCGGGACAAGGCATCACAGTATGTTAAGGGGCGTAACATTTCCGTCACACACTTGAGGTATTCGGCCAATCACAACGCACTGGATAGCTGGCCAATCACAGCACACCTTGCTTTTCAGACCGATGAGCTTTGTAAAAATCGACGCGTTTCAGAAAGGCGGGGCATAGAGGAGAAACAATAATGTACAGTATGTGGAAAATAATGTGTTTTTTGAACCTTAAACCGCATAAACACATTTCATTACACCAAATACACAAAATATTGTTCTTTTTAGCAACATCATATGACCCCTTTAAAGCATAGATTTCCTTGTAATAACATTACATTTTGAGAGCAGTTAAATTTAAAACTACAATCTTCAAAATCTTATTCAAGACCATTTTCACATTTAATTACTCATTTTTAATGGTTCCCCAAAGAATAGTGTCCTTAGTACATATCGGAATGACTACTATATATGTGTCTCATGTATCTCATATGTTGCATGTTTGGTATCTTTTCAGGGTACTGACTTTACTGACCAGTCAGGATATGAGGCGATATTGCAGAGGTTACAGGATGGCAGACACATGTGCAAAGATGTAGAAGAACTGTTGAAAATGAGGTGTGGAGTAGTTATTTATAGCGGTGTGTCTCTGTGAATGTCTGTATGTGACTTCTGCTCTCCTTAACAGAGCACTAGCGGAGGAGAAGTACGGACGAGACCTGGTGGCAATTGCTCGGAAGGCAGAAGGTCAAACCGAGATTGGGTAAATTGGTTTATGAATATTACGCAAACAAATTCCATTTTAAAACACACGCCCTTCTCTGGATTCAAATGACATGTTGATTTTAGGAAAAGTCACTTTTGAATAAATCAAATCACACACAACTATTCTTAGTAACTGCCTCATATTTATGTAAAACTTTCTTAGCTTCAATATGCAGTATATGTGTCCATAAGTGTGTGAAATAAGTGTTTATGTATTCATTACATTATTTGTTTTCCATACTCAGAACATTAAAGGCATCGTTTGACAAGTTAAAAGCAGGTATGTGAGGTGATGCAATTCCCTTTTGCCTCCTTCCTAGAAAAATGCTTTGAATGCTATGTTCTCAACCTGATTTGCATTGTTTTCTAGAAATTGAGAAGACTGGAAACCTGCACATCCATCTATCTGAAAGGATAAAGGAGGAAGTTCAGAAAATAGAGGCATTTCGAGAGCACCAGAGGGAACAGAGAAAAAAGGTAGAAAATAAATCAAATGATCCAGGATGTTATGCACACAGCTCAGCACTTTAGTGATGTTCCATGGTCAATGTGAAAGAGGAAGAAAACTGCCATTTTGGTTTGTAAGCACATACGCATTTTACTGTAAATGGTCACCTGCATTAATACAGACATCATTTGTTGTATTTTGTAAAGAGTGAATGGCAACGAATATCATTAATTTAATAATGCAAGTGATAGAAGATCAAAGCTAATGTCTATTTCCCTAATTAGCTTGAAGAGATTATTGAAAAACTTCAGAAGCCTAAAATGCTGTTGCACAAGAAGACCATCGAGGTAAGTACAGTAAATCTGATTAAAACAAATATCTATTTAATAAAAGTTAAGTCCTCATGTTTCCCCTTTCATTAGTTGTTCATGGCGTACATGACACATCATTCTCAGGGTCCACCCTAATTCAGTATCAGCCAAATGAGGAAGAGAAAGAAGTATAAACTGAAAGAAGAAACAGAAGCCCCTAGCCATGTAGTGACTGTACTTGTAGAATGAATTTGGGCATGATTAGACAGTAGATAAATGCAGGCTTTTGTTCATTGACTTTGGGTTTGAAGACTCAAACATTTATTTTTACCACCAAGAAATGTGTAGAGAGAGATAGGAAAGTAAAATTGAATAGTCATAGATGGTGACAGTGAATGAGAGAAAATAAGAATAGGTTGGTTGGTTTGTAGGTATGCATGCTGTCTCTGGATAAAATAAGACTTGAACTTCCTGTGTTGTACAACCACAGAAACACCACAGATCGTGCGATACGTTTTTAGACACATTTGTATAACAAGCTCTATACCCACCTCCCCGTTCACTTTTGTCTTGCACTTTTACTTACTTTGAAACTATTTTCTTCACTGTATGTCCTACAGTCAAAACGGTTATATGAGCAGAGGTGTAAGGAGGCAGAAGAGGCTGAGCAAGCAGTGGGGAAGAAGACAAATGTGACCACCTCCATCCACCGGCAATCAGAAAAGGTGTGAGGGCCTGAACTGAAAAAAACATTTAGCATGTACTGTAACTTTTTATACACTAAATACCAAAGTAAGTTAAATGTTTCTATATTTTCCTAAAGAGAAGTGCTCATTTTAATTCTGGAATTTTGGTACAGTGAAAAATTACGTTTGGCAAGTTTGTGGTCACAGTAAGGCCAAAATGAGGATTAAAGCAATGCAAAGTTGTTTCAGTCTGACTGGGGATCATTCCACCTCAGTGTTGTAAGAAACTGTACTACCATCAGTCAGTGTAATACTTTCATTTCTTTAGAATAGAGACTTTGTGACAATTTTGTCAATATGTATACCAGTTACGTTCCAGATTATTTGTACACTGCTCTTCAAATAAGTCAGGTTCAGACATTGAGTATGGCTATTTATCAGTCTATGTTGTACTATGTTGCAGGTGATGAACAGAGCCCGATTATGCAGGCAGGCAGCCAACCTGGCAGGTTTGTGCTAACAGACTTATGCCGAGTTCACACTGCATGATTTTCAAAGATGTCGCATCACTGTTGGTTTCACACTGCGTGACTATCTGGGGTAGCATCCAGTTACACAGCGTGATTGTGAATCGCCGTCAGCTCCAGATATATAGCATGCCAAATATTTCACGGGTGTCGGCGACGCGTCGGTGATTCCCTCAGATCGCATCTTTGATAATTCACACTGCGTGATTGTCACTTGCGTGAACGAGCACCGATTTGCCTCCGATGTCGGGCATTTGTCGGTGATTTCGCAAAACCTGTCGGCGAGTGAAAAATCGGGCTAAAATCATGCAGGCACCAGACAGAGCTGTCGGCGATTCTTCCTATTGTAAAGTCATGCAGTGTGTAACCTCCTGTCGTCGTTCCATCGTGCAGTGTGAACACAGCTGCAACTGGATGCTACCCCAGATAGTCACGCAGTGTGAAAACAATGGCGATCCGACGAGTTTGAAAATCGTGCAGTGTGAACTCAGCATTAACTGTTGTTATGATCCTGTTGGCAGTAAGAGGATAGATGGATTGTAATGTCTCTCTTGGAAGAAGTCAAAATAAGTCAAGCATTTAATCAGTCATTGTGTGTATGTGTATGAATCAGTAAGATTTTTTAAATGATTTTGAAAGTCTCTTATGCCCAATAAGGCTGCATTTATTTTATCAAAAATACAGTAAAAAATTATATTTGTTAAAACATTATTATATATTATAATTTGTTTTTGTGATTAGAAAGCTAAAGTTTCAGCTGCCAGTTTTCAGTATCACACGAGAAATCATTCTAGTATGCTGATTTGGTGCTCAAGAAACATTTCTTATTATTATCAGTGAATACCATTGTGCTGCTTAATATATTTGTGGAAAACATGCTACATTTTTCAGAATTCTTTGATGAATATAAAGTACAAAAAACTGGATATAGTACAAGTCTTTTGTAACATTATAAATGTTTTTACTGTCACTTTTGGTCAATTTAATGCATCCTTGCTGAATGAAAGTATTAATTTCTTCCAAAAAAACAAAACAAAAACTTACTAACCCCAAACTTCTGAATGGTTGTGTAGATATGAGAGCTTAAAGTATGTCTGGAAATTTCCAAGCTTTCTTTTTTTACATGTTATTTACATTTTCTGCCAAGTTATTTTCTTAAATAGCTCATTAATGGAGAGCTGGCTCTCTGTTTTATTTTCTTTGCTGGTTTAGAAAAGCAGTACAAAACGAATGTCGATCAATTTGAGAAAACTTGCCAGGACTGGGAGCGCACATACAGGAGTGCATGTGAGGTAAAGAACGTGTACAAAAACATGCATAGACTGCGAAAAAAGTCATGTTTACAGAAGAAGGCATGTATAAAGAATTAAGCAGAGCTTCATGTTTTCTTTAGGGTAATGATGACTAAATGAGAGAAGACAATCTCACAGGCATGTGATAAACAGTCATAGCATTCTGTCATAGAGCTGGAGAATATTTACTGAGATTTAGACGAGTCAAGAAAATGTCATTACCAAAAATAGTAAAAAAAAAAAGGAAATAGTTCTCAATTTACTGGCCGCATTTTAAAAGGAAGTGACATGAAAAATATTTTTTGTTTTGTATTTGTGTGTCGCCTTGTAGGTGTTTCAGCAACAGGAGTCTGAGCGCATTAATATCTTGCGCTGTGTGTTATGGGATCATTGCAATCTGCTGTCCATGCAGTGTGTCCAGGATGATGACGTACATGTCCACATTTCTCCATCTTTATATACCAAAGTCTATCCAAATGCTGTTTATAATTTACAATTATAACAACTGTTTTCTTTTGTTTTGTAGTGCTATGAGGAAGTAAGAAAGCTTTTAGAGCAGTGTGACATCATCACTGACAACAACTGCTTCATTAAAATGAAAAAGACGGCCTGTCGTCCTCCAGGTAAATTCACCATCAACATGATTTACTTCAGAAATCTAACAGTTAAAGACAGTGCCGATCCTAGACTTCTGGGGGCCCTACGTAAAACTGTGTCGGCAGGGGGTGGGGGGTATGAGTGGTTATGAACGAATGAATGAAACGCATTTATCCGTGTTTCACTCCGTCTCGAGTCGCGCTCGCGGAAAGCGCTTGAGAAACAGTGTCTCTTCCGAGGCTCGGTACACTTTCAACACGTTTTTTTTTTGTTCTTGAGCAAGACTGTACGACATTCACATTACATGATTTGACTGATTTTTACATAGAAAGGGCGACAGCACACCGCATTAAAAGAAATGATCATTCATGTTTTCATTACCGCTGGCCAAATTCAAAAACGAAACTAAAATTAAATCATCTTTGAGAGCAAGGGGGCCCCCTGGTGTTTCGGGGGCCCTACGCAGCTTGCGTATTTTGCGTATAGGGAGGATCGGCTCTGGTTAAAGAGCTGACATAAGATGATGTGATGCTGTTAAGAAATTCTACATAAATTGACAGTCACTCCTCTGTCTCTTAAGCTCCCATTGAGTTTCAGAGTTACTCTGACGTGGACGCTAATGGAGGAGTCAGGAGGCTTGAAACGAAAAGGTGAATGTCTGAACTACATAAACTTAATTATGAATTACTTCTATTTTATGTTTTTTGCAACTTGATTGTGAAACTCTGTCTTTTATATCTGCAGATTATCTGTCATTCTTCCAGGGATGTCTTTCAGTGGTCAGTATTACTTCTGTGAAGTCTTAAACTTACAGTTAAGTCAGTATGCAAAGAGCATTAAACTAATATACTCACAATACATTTCAGTGAAATCTAGCACTTTAATAAACAGTATTAGGAATGATCTGCACTGAACATTGCTGTCCTTACTGTACATCACAGGGTATCCTGAAGCAGGCAGTAATTCGGCTGGAACGTACACATCAGCTCAACAAACAGGAGGAGTAACTGAGAAGCACATGGTGTTATATGATTTTAAAGCTCAGGTAAATGAATACAGTAACTATTTATAGTTAGTTTTTATCCTAGAGGTACAGACAAACTTGCATTTGTCATGTATTTGTTTTTAGTAAAACTGATTATTGTAACGGACTCCACGGTTGTGCACAATTCAGAATTGAATTTAGCATGCGTTTTACAGTTACTGTTTAGTTTCAGAATTGGAATTGAGGTAGCAATCGGGAACTACAATTGAAAGTAGAAATAAAATTAATTTTAATTCAAAGAAATTCATATAAACCTCATAAGTGTCATTTTTAACATAGAGACATTTGCCTGGCAGCCTTGTTAAAAAGTTTAAAATGTCTTTATAGGTTTATAAAAAAAAAAACTTTTATATATATATGAGTTGTGTACTCAACTCCCTGCCCTTTCTAGGAAGATGATGAACTGTCTGTCAGTAAAGGACAAGTTGTCACAATCACTGAGCAAGGCGAGGATGGGTGGTGGAGAGCATGGAGGGATGGAATATCCGGGCTGGTCCCTGGAACGTACTTGACCAAAATTTCACCACAGAGTTACAGTACACGTCTTGCTGCTGCTCATCCTGAACATAATCCCATCAAATAGAATTTAGTAGTCATTACACTAAGTCTGTGAATTAGTTCAGCATGCAAATTGATGTAGAGTGATTATATCAGTGTACTAGCAGTACATCATATTAGCTGTATGAAAGATATTAGCTTTCTCGACAGGCATCGTGAATATAAATTATTCTGCAGTTGTTTGTCTAATAGTTCTGATTATGATAAGGTTTAGTCCAGTTTTTACCATGGTGTATAGTTAGGATTTATACAAAAATATTATATTACTTATATTAGAATTATGAATTTCTTCTTCTTTTTTTTACATACACCTCTTTTAATAAATGTATACTGTAATGTGTATTAATATACTGTAATGTACATATTTATTATTAATTTTGTAATATTGCTATAATTTATCATAGCTTATTTGTCTGGTAGATGTTGTAATCTGCATGCAAGTTCCCTCAAAAAAGGACATGCAAAACCCATATTCCTCAGCAATGCATTCAGAAATGTAAATGCATTAAAAGCCACATTCAACTGAAGACAGGCATAACTGTAATAAAATCATAAGTAACCTTGAGTAAGTTCTGATTAAACTCAAATGCACACCAAATAATTGCACAGAAATATGCAAATATCTGTTCTTTCTCAGAAAAAAAAGGTACAAAGCTGTCACTGGGGCGGAACTCTTAAGCTAAAACGCATCCATCCATCTAGCCTGAAATAAAATGTTTATAATAAATGTACATCAAAAAAATATAAACAAGCACAAGATTAAGTTGTTACAAAATAAAATTAATTAAAAAAAGCCCCTGGAGTGGTTCTCTGCCTGTTTCAAATGCACACCAAGTAAATGCACAGAGATATGCAAACATCTGATCTCGCTCTCAAAAAAGAAAAAAAAAAGGTACAAAGCTGTCACTGGGGCTGTTCCTTAAAGGCACAATATGTAAGATTTTTTTATTAAAATATCCAAAAACCACTAGAACAGTGTTATATATTTTGCTGACTTGTGTACTTACATTATCCCAAATGTTTCGAAGAATGTTTAAATCCAGAGAAATAAGCAATTTTAACTAGTCACACGGACCGTGTCTATAGTGTCATTGTGTCGCCTGCCAATGACGTCATACACCCTCGATTTCCGGTTTTGTTTTGTAGAAAACATGGAAACACCAAAGACGCTTTAATATGTTGTGCGTTTTATTAGACCGGTGACGACCGCACAGAGTAGCATTATAACAGAACTTTCAAATGTATCTAGTATGATAAAACAGCGCTGCTTTTTTTCCCCACATACGCACGACCGGAAGGCGCGGAAGCAGTCGACTGTGGCATAATAAAAGCTCCGCTGCTTTCGAGCCGTGTGTCGCACTCGTTCAGCGGCCTCGTTTCGCTTCGACGGCTTTCAGCCTCACCCTGCTTCATTCTACTGCGTTAATATATCATTAGCTCATACATGATTTCTGCCCGAGTCCCGTCGGATTGCATCGGCTGTGGGGATGAAGACGACAACTCCCATGATTCCACACTCAGTCACGGCGTCATCAAACCACGCCTTTGTTTATTTGTTTGTTTTGAATACGCGCCCTCTCGCGGCGAAAAATTACATATTGTGCCTTTAAGGTAGAAAAGTCTTATTTACCCCTAAATTGTACATATTTGTAGCATAAAAAGTGTACCACCCCAGTGACAGTTTGGTACCTTTTTTGTGAGAGTGTTGGGTCACATTGTTGGTAGTTTTTGTTACCTAACAGCTGGGGGATAATTCTATACATCCATCACGTTCTGGCAGGGTACGGAAGGGGAGATTAAGGCAGCAGACTTTGTTTAAATGAACTAAAGACCCTAATCCAAACTGGAGCAACCGCTGAAGCAAACATAACAGCTTGTAGAATCCATAAATGTAATAAATTAATACAAAAATGAACTTAGCATCCATCCAACATGATTCTCTGCTTGCGGCCCATGATTAGAATAAGAGGTTTGGAGAATAGATGGATGGATACTATGACTAAATTATGTGAAAATAAATAAAAACATACAATCTGATCTTGTATTTAATTACGTATTATGCATTTTTATTTGTGCAAGTTTGTGCTGAGTAGACATATTCATGTAAAAAATTGTATGATGAAAAACACAAGTGCAATAGACATGCAAACGTGCATACAGTACATTTAACAGTAAAATGTCTGACGTCATTATCCTAATTGTTTAACCCTTCAAATTCTATACTTTCCATCTGACCAAAGCTTTGACTGTAGCAGTGTCTTAATATTGAGTGCTTGAACATAAAACACATTTACTTATTTATACAGTACATTGTTACTTAACCCTTAAAAACCTAGAACATTTTTGGGGCGCCTGACACACCTGCACTTTTCTTTGTTTTTCAGACCTATTCTAGCAGTCAGCATCAAGTGCCATATATCATTATAAACAGGAGAATTTGAAGTTTAAGTCTAGCTAATTTAAAGTCCCAATTTTCCTTTTGTTTTCTCTAAGAATGAATGAATTTACAGAATTTTAAGAAAAATGCAAGCAACAGTTGGGTGTTTTTTACCGTGTACTCAAACAGAAACTCCTAAAGTTTGGATCTTTTTCTTTAGAAAGTTGTATCTGGGTGTTTTACACGTCCAAATAAAATTTTGTCTACATATAACATTCCCCAAGCAAATTATAGCCATTTATTACAATATTGTTATAGGCGCTTTTCAGTGAAAAACAGGCCTATTTAGTTTACTAACAATAGAGATGTGTCCAAAAACGTTAGGGAGTAAAGAAAATGGAAAGAGTGTTATATAATAACAAAACACAGTAGAAAAGTTTTTTTTTTTCAGATAAATATATTTTCAATCCGAGTATGAACAATAAACACAAACCGTGCAGCAAGTAGTAAAAACAATTGCACAAATTGTCTTCTGCAACAAAAATACAAACAGCGCAAATGATTCACAAACTACACACAAAATGAGTGAGAAATATTCAGAGTGCAACAGAAAAAATAGTGCAAATTATCTTTATGAATTATAAAAGAATTATTTACATAATATAAATAATATAAATTGATCCGCTCGCTGTATCTGCATCGGAATTGATTTTACCGGGACATCGACTAGCGACGCGAAGACATAAATTCCAGTGTTTTATCCTATATGTACCGCTGTTTCATCCTTGTTTTTGGTTTGTTTTATGTCAAAGTGCTCTGTCGTGTGTTTTTTGTGCTTTTTCAGAGTTTTCTCATGCAAATGTGTTATTTTGTGTTTGTTTTCATGCACTAAATAATATAAATTGATCGATCCGCTCGCTGTATCTGCATCGGAATTGATTTTACCGGGACATCGACTAGCGACGCGAAGACATAAATTCCAGTGCTTTATCCTATATGTACCGCTGTTTCATCCTTGTTTTTGGTTTGTTTTATGTCAAAGTGCTCTGTCGTGTGTTTTTTGTGCTTTTTCAGAGTTTTCTCATGCAAATGTGTTATTTTGTGTTTGTTTTCATGCACGCACGACAGACTTTCCTTTTACTTTGCGTTTGTTTATATTTCCAAAGAAATATGCTAAATAGTGGTTCAAAAGACCAAAACCTGTTTATTGGTTGAATATGGGACAGTTTGAACCAATCTGGGCACGGGGGTGGGACTAAGCGTCAACAATCGTTCCTGTTTGGCCAAACCATACATCAACGGAAAGCTTATTTATTCAGCTTTCAGATGATGTATAAATCTCAATTTTAAAAAATGTA